TAAATAATCAATAATAATAACATTAAACAATAATAATAAATAGTAATCAAAAGAAAATACAATCGTAATCATCAGTACGAGTAACAAGTCATACAGAAAAATTATCATCACCCAATAAAATAAAAATACTTCAATAAAAATCAACGCTCATGTAAGCTCGAAATAACTAAAATCAAATCAATCATGTAGAAAAAAAGCAAATGCAACACGCGAGAAAAATTACTATGAAAATAGTAAACTCCAATCAAAGCTAGAAATAACTGAAGCAAAAAAAAAATGAAAATCAGAAAAATATCAGCGCAATCGTCAATAAGAATCAACCATACACAATACTTGCCCAATGAAAAATAAATCACTAAATGACAATAAATAATGGAAATAATAAACAACAAGATAAGAAGTTATAACGAACAACTAGTACTGTAGTCTGTACTTTTTTTAGTTTAGTTTATGTTGTTATTAAATAACAACATAAACTAAATTAAAAAAATACAAATAGCAGCCGGAAAAAAACTGGAAAACAACGCTAATCAGTGAGCATATAAACGAGCCAAAGGTTGGTGCGGCTACATTGTGTTCCGCGAAATAAGACTCCCTCATATTTGACAAAGACCCCGGAAAACCGGTAAAAATTTCTGTTAAAATGCGAATTAATGAATACCGGACTGGAAAATGGGTGCTGCGAGTGCGCACTAATCTGTATATCCCGAACACCGCTCCTGCCACTGTACTACGATAATTCTGTTTTAGCGGTGTCATACGGCACACTGACCCGTACTGCGTCAGCAGTTCGCGCATCTCAATCTCCACCAGCTCCAGCGTCTCCGCGTCCACCAGGTCGGTCTTGTTGACGAAGACGATGATGCGCTGCACGCCGATCTGTTTGGCCAGCAGGAGATGTTCGCGCGTCTGCGGCATGTGCCCGTCGGTGGCGGCCACCACCAGGATGGCCGCGTCCATCTGCGACGTCCCGCTGATCCTGCAGAACACAACGCCATTCACTGCGGCATCGCTTCCCTTCTAAATCAACCATAAATTCACAGATATTTTCTTAATTTAATTTTAATTCATATTAAATTTTAATTTATTTCATCCCAATTTTCTTAAATTTCATATTAAATTTTAATTTATTGTATCACAATTTTCTTAAATTTTCATAATTTATTTTATCACAATTCCTACCATCTATCTCACCAGTATTATTAAAATAATCCCGCCGATTGAGATAAGTAACAGTGTAACACCATCGTAAATTGTTTTCCAGAAATCTGGGAATATTACATCTGCAGCTGATAATTTTGATTAAATGAACGATTATTAAAATAAGTTAATTTTCCAGGAAATTAACGCCAATTTGAACAACTCAGAAAATAAACCGTACATGCAAGAATGAATTATCAAGCAAAAATTATGGTGAATCGCTACTAAAAAAACACGAGAAGATACGGTGATATTAAACTGATAATAAATGCAATCCATAAATGATGACTCACTAATAATAATTGTTGATATTATGGTTAGCATTATTATGGTTAGTTCAACATCGCTATTAATTAATCAATTACACAAAAAATCCCCAATTTTTATGAATTATTTCCAGCGGATCGAGCGCAATCGGGAAAACTTGGAAAAACATTTCAGAAAAATTTCTAAAAAATTCCACAAAAATTGCTATAAAATTCCCCGCACTGCTACTAAATTTTTAATTACGGAAAAACATTCCACTGACATATTTTTCACATAATCCTTGTGTCCGGGGCAGTCCGTATGGGCGTAATGCCGTTTGGCCGTCTTGTACCCAATATGGGCGACATTGATGGTGATCCCGCGACGGATCTCCTCGGGCGCCTTATCAATCTGATCGTACGCCACGAACTGCGCGCCGCCCTGCCGCGCCAGGACCCGCGTGATGGCCGACGTCAACGTGGTCTTCCCGTGGTCCACATGCCCGATAGTCCCTACGTTGCAGTGCGAACTGACGACTTTGGTCGGACTGGTCACAGGACTGGATGAGAAACAGCGAAGGGATCCCAAGGGATGCGGGGGTTTCTGCGGGATCCGTACCCGCAAACAACTGCGGAGGAAGGCGCTGATTATTGTGGAGGAGGGGCAGGACATCCTGGATGCAATGCGGATGGAAGGAGAAATCAGAAAAACTCACTACAAACCAGAGAATTCTATGCAGGAAAATCAACTTGGTTCATGTTTGAACATGTTCAGTGTTAACGATGCAGATCAACAGGAGGAAACCAAAAATGAGGATCTGATCGTTTTTATGTTTTCCGGAAAATATTAAAACGAGCGCTGGGATCGGTACAAAATCAAAAAGGAGAAAAAGAATCGTGGAAAACCCGAAAATGAAAAATGCAACTTTCTTCCGACTTACGGTTTACCATTAGTGAAAGCTGAAAATCAGAAGAACAATGTTACAATTCAAGTTTATCCGCCGAAGCAGCCAGCATCGCACACCCGGGCGGTCGCTCCGTTTTCAGCAATGAATTTTCGGTGCCACTGCACTACAAAATCACATGCATTTTTGATGGTCGTTTCTGTCGTGCATTTTGTGGACAAATCGGCATTAATTTAACCGTGTTAAGTGGAAAAAATCGCAGTGAATTTGTTGTTTTTATTTATTAAGTCGGTGTGGTGAAAAACAATTTGTAGAGTAAATTATTTGTTTTGTTTGTATTTAATGACTGGAAATGCTTGTTTATCTTTTCATGTGTACGAGCGTTAATTACCGTTACTTAACTACTCGTACCGTTAATTACGGTATTATTTTTATGGCAAAAAACGTTTACAGAAATTCACAAAATTCACCAATTCCTTGTAACGAGTAAACCCGTCCGCCGCCCATACACGTTCGTACAATTTTCAACAATTAATTATTAATCAGACACAAACAAGACCATGAATCCATTCACAAGGCTTTCTCTCTGATTTCGATTCTTTTTTCTGCAATAAAATACAAATAAATTTACAATAAAATACAGCAGACCGTGACTGAACGTTTGATGACGTACTGTGCAGTTCGACGATAAGCTGATCCTGGAAGACGTGCTTCATGGGCATCGGGGGGCGCTGCTGCTCCTTATTGGCCTTGTACACCGCCTCCGTCAGCGACAGTCCCACCCATTCCGCCTCTTCCAGCTGTCAAAAAAAACATACATTCTTCATGGATTAAATATTATGGTTCTTTCTACATAATGCACGCAAGACAGTTTTATTTCTAAATTAGCACAGTAACTGCTGAATAATTTTCTAAAATTTCCACAACACAGTAAATGCTGAATAATTTTATGAAAATAGCTGAATAATTTTCCAAAATTATCCAAATAACGGTTAAATAAATTTTTACAATTAGCAAAATAACTGCTGAATAATTTTCTAAAATTTCCACAGTACAGTAAATGCTGAATAATTTTATGAAAATAGCTGAATAATTTTCCAAAATTATCCAAATAACGGTTAAATAAATTTTTACAATTAGCAAAATAACTGCTGAATAATTTTCTAAAATTTCCACAGTACAGTAAATGCTGAATAATTTTATGAAAATAGCTGAATAATTTTCCAAAATTATCCAAATAACGGTTAAATAAATTTTACAATTAGCAAAATAACTGCTGAATAATTTTCTAAAATTTCCACAGTACAGTAAATGCTGAATAATTTTATGAAAATAGCTGAATAATTTTCCAAAATTATCCAAATAACGGTTAAATAAATTTTTACAATTAGCAAAATAACTGCTGAATAATTTTCTAAAATTTCCACAGTACAGTAAATGCTGAATAATTTTATGAAAATAGCTGAATAATTTTCCAAAATTATCCAAATAACGGTTAAATAAATTTTTACAATTAGCAAAATAACTGCTGAATAATTTTCTAAAATTTCCACAACACAGTAAATGCTGAATAATTTTATGAAAATAGCTGAATAATTTTCCAAAATTATACAAATAACGGCTAAATAAATTTTTACAATTAGCAAAATAACTGCTGAATAATTTTCTAAAATTTCCACAGTACAGTAAATGCTGAATAATTTTATGAAAATAGCTGAATAATTTTCCAAAATTATCCAAATAACGGTTAAATAAATTTTTACAATTAGCAAAATAACTGCTGAATAATTTTCTAAAATTTCCACAGTACAGTAAATGCTGAATAATTTTATGAAAATAGCTGAATAATTTTCCAAAATTATCCAAATAACGGTTAAATAAATTTTTACAATTAGCAAAATAACTGCTGAATAATTTTCTAAAATTTCCACAACACAGTAAATGCTGAATAATTTTATGAAAATAGCTGAATAATTTTCCAAAATTATACAAATAACGGCTAAATAAATTTTACAATTAGCAAAATAACTGCTGAATAATTTTCTAAAATTTCCACAGTACAGTAAATGCTGAATAATTTTATGAAAATAGCTGAATAATTTTCCAAAATTATCCAAATAACGGTTAAATAAATTTTTTACAATTAGCAAAATAACTGCTGAATAATTTTCTAAAATTTCCACAGTACAGTAAATGCTGAATAATTTTATGAAAATAGCTGAATAATTTTCCAAAATTATCCAAATAACGGTTAAATAAATTTTTACAATTAGCAAAATAACTGCTGAATAATTTTCTAAAATTTCCACAGTACAGTAAATGCTGAATAATTTTATGAAAATAGCTGAATAATTTTCCAAAATTATACAAATAACGGCTAAATAAATTTTTACAAATAGCAAAATAACTGCTGAATAATTTTCTAAAATTTCCACAACACAGTAAATGCTGAATAATTTTATGAAAATAGCTGAATAATTTTCCAAAATTATCCAAATAACGGTTAAATAAATTTTTACAATTAGCAAAATAACTGCTGAATAATTTTCTAAAATTTCCACAACACAGTAAATGCTGAATAATTTTATGAAAATAGCTGAATAATTTTCCAAAATTATCCAAATAACGGTTAAATAAATTTTTACAATTAGCAAAATAACTGCTGAATAATTTTCTAAAATTTCCACAGTACAGTAAATGCTGAATAATTTTATGAAAATAGCTGAATAATTTTCCAAAATTATCCAAATAACGGCTAAATAAATTTTTACAATTAGCAAAATAACTGCTGAATAATTTTCTAAAATTTCCACAACACAGTAAATGCTGAATAATTTTATGAAAATAGCTGAATAATTTTCCAAAATTATCCAAATAACGGTTAAATAAATTTTTACAAATAGCAAAATAACTGCTGAATAATTTTCTAAAATTTCCACAGTACAGTAAATGCTGAATAATTTTATGAAAATAGCTGAATAATTTTCCAAAATTATCCAAATAACGGTTAAATAAATTTTTACAATTAGCAAAATAACTGCTGAATAATTTTCTAAAATTTCCACAGTACAGTAAATGCTGAATAATTTTATGAAAATAGCTGAATAATTTTCCAAAATTATCCAAATAACGGTTAAATAAATTTTTACAATTAGCAAAATAACTGCTGAATAATTTTCTAAAATTTCCACAGTACAGTAAATGCTGAATAATTTTATGAAAATAGCTGAATAATTTTCCAAAATTATACAAATAACGGCTAAATAAATTTTTACAAATAGCAAAATAACTGCTGAATAATTTTCTAAAATTAGCAAAACAATTTCTCTTCCGTTAGCAAAAGAGTTCACTTTACTTCTCACAAAAATAATTAAGAAAACATTTTACAACGTTCTATCCGACACTTTCAAGTTCCTAATAAAGGATTTTAATTTTTCACATTTCCATTATTCGACGAAAAAATATTTTTTTAAAACGAAAATAAATAAAATTAAATTTTAGGGATACTCA